GCCCATCCCTGACTTATTATAAATAAACATTAGAATGGGATGACACATTTCTCTCATGAGTTTTATATGCACATCAGAACATTAACAATATTAAAATACACCAAAGAAAACACTGTTTCGAATTACACTGAAAGCTCTACACTTATACAGTTACAAGCAGAGAACCTGAGATCAAACCCCAGGACTGAACTGGAGCTGACAATCTCGGTCTTATGTACTCCATTTCAGTGGTGGGATTCAAAAAAATGTACTACCGGTTCTGTGAGCATGGCTTGGTGGGCGTGGCAGGGGAAGGATACTGTAAAATCTCCATTTCCTCTCCATTCCTGGGGAAGGTTACTGCAAAATCCCCATTTCCTCCCAATCAGCTGGGACGCAGGAGGCAGAGAATAGATGGGGGCGGGTAGTTCTCCGAACTACTCAAAATTTCCACTAGCGGTTTTCCAGAACTGGTCAGAACCTGCTGAATACCATTTCTGCTCCACTTTATGCTTTCTGTTGAACATCCAAAGATGTCATAAAAATCCAACTGATGTAAATGTTGAATTGATATGTGGAGCTCTCCAGAATAGTGTGGCTATAAATAAATGCATTCCGCACAAGATATAACACAATTTCCATATATTTTTTCCCAAAAGGAATTCTGAATTTACTCAACTGAAGCCTTGTGAAAAGAGTGCATAACATCTTACCTTCGTTTTCTTTTGTGTATCTGACACCATGGGGATGTAGAGTGTAAGCTCTTTTAGCGAAATTTTTTAAGTGAATGACAAAAGAGTCCCCAACTTCTGCTTTGATAGTCGGGCCCAGGAAGCCCAGCGATGGTGGCTTTTCCACAACATGACTATACGAGTTATCTGTGTATTGCACATACACAGCTTTTTTATATGTGCTTCCTATACGATCTGGGCCTTGCTGCAGAAAGACACTAGCTTCCCTGAAAAGGAAACAGATAATTATATCAATGCAAGACTTTCAAAATAATGTAGTCCTCAACTTACAACCATTGGTTTAAGGATGGTTCAAAGTTACAACACTATTGAAAAAAGAGATTTACACCGGTCCTCACACTTATCATTTTGCACCATCCCCACAGTGATTTGATTAAAATCCAGGCACTTGACAATCAGTATATGTTTACAATAGTTACAGGGTCCAAGAGTCATGTGATGGCCATTTGCAATTTTTCCAGTTGAATTGAATTGAATTGAATTTATTAAATTTCTATGCCGCCCAATCCCGAAGGACTCCAGGCAGCTTCCAACAAGCAAAGTCAATGGGGGAAGCTGGATTTGCTTAATGGCTACATGATTTCCTTAACAACTGCAGTGATTTGCTTAAGATCCATGGCAGAAAAGGTTGGAAAAATCAGGTGCAACTCACATCCTCTTCACATTTCCTGAACAAGGTGACCAGACCAGTGGTGGATTCCTACCGGTTCTTACCATTTCGGCCAAACCGATAGTGGTTTGGAGGCCTGGGTCATTGGAACTAGCAGCGACCCAGGCTGCTATGCCCCTTAACTGGTTCTCTGGCTGGTACCATAGGCTCTGCCATCTTGTTTTTCAGTTATGTGCATGCGCAGAACAAATTTAATAGCACTGCACATGCGCGCACAGCAAACCAGCAGTAGTGCCTGCCGAACCCACCCCTGGACCAGACCTGGATTGTACAACTACATTTGCCTTTTTAGACAGATTCATATCTCACAACAGACCCTGTGCTTTCTACTTCACACCAGCATTTGCATGTCTTAAGTGTTTCCATCCAAAGTATTTAAAGAAGGAAATCTAGTTCTCTCTGTGTATCAGAACAAGATTATCTTTATAACATTTACAACAGTAAATGCATAACATTCACTCTGGGATATCATATCTAGTCTGCAAAAATCTGAATCACTCTGTTAGCCTTTTTCAAAGTGTTGGAGATTTCGCTGTCAAGTGAATAGATGAGCTCTATTGTTATTGATATGTTTTTATGGGGTCAATAAAAAAAATCTTGGGAGCCCTGAGTATTATGTGGCACACTCTATGTTTTAATATTTGTAACCTACACAAAGATACTTGTCCGAGATAGGCAGCTATATCACAGAACTAAATAGACAGCAAGAAATAGAGGTTTCTTGTCTCATGGCAGTCATGTAGTGGTCATTCAGATTTTTTTCAGTACAGGTATGATAGCCATATCCAGCGATTACGTGAGCTAAAATTATTTTTTTGTTTTTTTCAAGCACAGTTCTCACAGAATTCTCTTTGGTAAAATTTATTAATAAAGATAGGAGAGCAAACCAGCTATTTTCACATTAGAATGGATATACTTTAAGGTAAAAAAATTCTGATTCTCTGCTTCATAGTCTTCCTATAATCCTACAAGAGTCCCTCTGTTAACTGGCAAGGAAGTCTGCTTGTAGTTGTTTAAACAATGGTCCAGGGAACCAACTCTTAGATTAAGTTACTACAGTGGAGTCAACATTTAATGAACTGTTTGACAAAATAAGTGTTTGTTATATTTTAAAGTCTTGATAAATCCCACTGTACAACATGTATACCATTTGGTGTATACCAACATGTATACACCAAATGTATACCATTTCTGAGGTGAGTTGACAAAAATGATGTTGTTGTATGTAGGTTGTCTAGAGTACTTGGGATAAAAAGGATTTTGTTACTTTGGGTTGATGCCCATACTCAGGTTTTGTCATATCTGAAATACGAGCAATTAATTGCTTTCCAAAGCTGGTTCACTCGTCCTTTTATAGTTATGTTTCCTTGGTGAAGGGAGTTGTCTACATCTCTGCTGTACAGAATGGTAAATGAGGAAAAGGAAGAAGAAATAAGATATTCTCCTATTGCAAGTAGCATAGAAGAGCTTTGTTCTGGGAAATAGTAACAGAAGTACTGTATTGCAATACAATAGTAATTTTCACTTGCCTTTTGATCGCATTATGCATATTTGTGCAAAGTGGAAATAAATGGCCAGCATTAATTGTTTAAGTTCTTTCTGAGAAGAGAAATTCAACTTGGATTGGATTCTGGCTATTTAACAAGAAAAGCTTAGCAGCCAATTTTAACTAGCTTCTGCACTATAGTTTGAAGAATAAAAATTTATAGGTGAACACTGAATAAAAGTTTGTGTAGTAGTTTTTGTTCATGCCTAACTAACCATGCATTTGGGAATTCCTTTTTTTTTTCATTCAAAATTCAATCTGATTACTTTGTCTTGCCTCTTCTTACGCTCTATAAGTTTCATTATTTGATTCAGACATTGGTGTGTTTTTTTAACTGCATTGCACCATCATTTTAGAAGATATCTTACCACTCGAAAAGCAAGGCAGAGATGGGAGTACCCAGATTGACAGAACAATGAACATTGTACTATTCTGTCACCTTGATCACTAAATTTACCTTTACCATTTTGTTTCCTATTAAGGCCTCCCCAGGCTAACTTCTTAACTCTATCAGTCACTAACTTTTGTCTCTGTTCAACAATTCCACACATCACAGCATTTACATTTTATTTCATTTCACCATTTGATTCACAGCATTCTTGGGAATGTCTGACAGATTTGATTTTCTCAGTTAACCAATGAGCCTCAACTGATGCAGGGGACTGTACAGTTTCAAAGGCAAACCAATATTGCCTTGTAAAAATCATTAACAATCTTGTTTTTCAGGAAGCTTTGTGAGACACTAATTAAATTAGAGATGCATGTATGGACTTTCTAGAACCGTGCAGATGATTTCCGGTTGACGTGGGCACTGTGTCCTTTTTTTTCTTCTTCTTTGCAAAGATAATGGCTTTCATTTAAAAATAAGCCTACATAAATCTGATTATTAAGATTCCTGAGGCCTGAAGCATTTAAATAGAGATTAAACATGAAAGGCAGAACATTGTAAGACGAGGCTTTCTTCATGCAATGTAACCATCTTCAATGGATTTTCAACAACAAGGAAGCTCTAATTTTTGTCAGAGACTGAATATTTCCAGTCACTGGTGCCTTTTTGTTATTTTATATTTTTCAAGCAATCTTCATACATGTTCTCTTTTGCTCTTGCTAGAACAGCAGATCTGAGTTATAAAAATCTGGACAATCACTGGATGATAATAATATGAACTCTGAATTTCCATTTCCTTCTTACCTTTTTTTTTTTTACAGAAAACATATGGCTGATGAATACAATCCCCAAGTTACATAAAGGCTGAATACCAAGATCAGCTTGTCTGATTCAAAAATGCTTAAAAGAGTTATTGTTACCTATTATTATTATTATTATTATTATTATTATTATTATTATTATTATTATTATTATTA